GTGTGGAGCCTGGGTGAGTTGGGGAAAAGTGGGCCAGGGAGGGCGGTTGGGGGTGGGGGGGGGCTGCAGCTTTAAGGGTGTTAACGATTGTTGAAAGCTTCAACCTCGGGCGGTGACTTTAAGCCCGCGTAAGCGACCACCGTTTTTTTCGATTCGCTGGCATCTGTGACGTGCTCACAAGTCGCCGAAGGGGCACGATTGAGTTCGTTTTGTCAAGGCCAAGTGCTGTGTTTTTGTTTTTGTTTTCTTGGGTAGTCGGTCAATCTCCGGACCGTTTAGTATATGCCGAGAAGTTTTTACCGGGGCGTGTTTCCTCACTCGTACTGACTTTAGTATAATAAACTTTTGTTCTTCGGCGTCCTCGGTGCAATTGCTTGTTTGTGCGGGAGGTTGAGAAGTGGTGAGCCGGTCGAAAAAATTGTGTGGAGCCGCTCATGGCTGTGTGGGGCTAGGTATGCATATTTTTTTTTTGAACGTCATCACGGTTCTTTGTTCGGGAAGCCGCGGCCATCTTGTCCGCCCTCGTTCCGCCGTAATTATCTCGCGGTACACGTACAATCTACTTTGCGTCGTGCGTGCCCTAAACGAAGCACAGGCCACGATTGATTGTGGTTGCTGGGACCTTGGTTTGAGGCGTCGTTTATTCGTGTCTGCAGAAAAGGCTTTTGTATCGTTTTTTTTTGCCGGGGTGTCATGCGCTCACCACGGTGTTGACGCACGGGAACCTGCATATGTGCAACTACGCGCTAACGCATTAACGACCGACGAATTAATACAAAAGAACACAAACCTGGTACCTGTTATCCGGCTGCGAACGTTTGTCCCGAGGGGCAGAACAACGTTGCATGATGAGAGGGCACAATCTGGCGACGTTGTGAGCCAAGGCTTTCTCCAACCCACGAGGTTACACAGGTGGCCAAAGTACACATTGGGGGTAGGTTGGGAGCACCCCCAATGTCGGGCAGGTGGTGGAGGGGGGTTGGGAGGCAGCCACAACCTTGGCCAGCCCTCCTGGTTGTGCAAGGCTGGGTGCGGAAGGTTGGGAGGGCTGTCACAACCTTGGTCAGTCCTCCTCGTTGTGCAAGAACGGATGCGGAAGGTTGGGAGGGCTGTCACAACCTTGGCCAGCCCTCCTGGTTGTACAAGGCTGGGTGCGGAAGGTTGGGAGGGCTGTCACAACCTAGGCCATGACTCCTGGTCGTACAAGCACCGGTGCGGAAGTTTGGGAGGCTGCCACAACCTTGGTCCTGACCTCCTGCATGTAACCAAAAACAAACAAACTGGCAAAAACACACACACACACACTCCCACACTCCCGCGGGGTGACTCATGTCGGTTCGACCGCCACTGCTGCTGTATAATAATAAAAATATTTATTTATTTCACCCGCCGGCCCGCACAAAACATATGTAATAATGCACGCGCCTCAGTACAGCATTATCATTATGTTTTACATGCAAAGTCGGATACACCACGAAACTGATGCTAAGTTGAGTCTGGTTATCTGCAGCGGAGATCAGACACATTGCTACAACAGACCACTCGACCGATAATAAAGTAGCCGTCATGGAGACCTCATCATCTATCTATGTTTTTTTTTCTTTCTGCTGGATACAGCGCAGTACAGCAGCAGTATATTTTATTATTACAGCAGCCAGCCGGTTTTCCTCCACTCACTGAAAAGACTCCGCCACATCCCGTTCGACTGTGGGTATATCACGAATGTGTAGTCTTTCTGTGCGTGTATTTACTTTTTTTTTTCCTTTTATTGTGCAGCACCACGGGAATTGATTGATCCCGCGCACGTCGGTTGTGCATACATACATACTGCTGTACGTGGGTTCGAGGGCTGGTCAGCGCAATTAGACTAATTGTTATTATCCATTTTTTTCCCATTTTTTCAGCTTTCGACATTTTTCCGCTGTTTTTTTTTATTGTTCCTGTGTTACAACGAGCTCATTTATTGTTTCCTCCCGGCGGTCGGAACACCCAAACAAGTTGTATGTTTCCAAGAACAACCGGTGGGCTGAAACAACCACAAAAAAAAAGGCTGTGGTGAAAAGCATTCATTTTTGTCGCTTGGGCGGCGGTGAACGGAAAACGGCCCAAAAATAGACGCGATTTGCTCTTTCTATGGAGAGAAGACATTTGTAACCGGGGGTATAACCGTGGGAGAGGACGTTTGGAAGACATTGTTATTACATACAGTTTACTTTTTTAATCCCCGGCGAAAAATACCTACCGGGTACCATTCATGTTTTGCTAGTATTAATTTTACGCAACCAGTCGTTAATTTGCGACCGCGGCCACTTGGTTACCGGTCATCGTTGCTATAGTCTATCCCGAACTCTTGCTCTGTGAACCAGCTAAGATGGGGCATTTGTGATACTTGACGTATAAACAGACCTCCAAATAAGCCCCGTATCTACAGGCTTTCTCCCCCAGCCAGTGCAATACGACTCCCCATCCCGAAAGGGTATCAACCACCTGTAGGCTTTCAGTAATTTTGTGAACAAAGAAAGAGAGCCTTCTCAAGATTGCTTAGACGAGTCCCGGCATTGCAGTGTGTTCTCTGTGTGCTGGCTGCATAAAACGAACGAAATAGACGGTTGCCTACCTCGCTACCTTCCATATGCTAGACGCGGTCCGTCATCCGCCTGCGCCGTGTATTGTGGGGTCACGGTGGTCTACACATCTTTTTCAATTTTTTTTTCGATTTTTCGTTTCAGTTCTCTTGCTGTTTGTCGAGCACATTTTTTCATCCGGCTGCGTCTCATACTGGATGAAACACTGATCGTTGTTCCAACTTGCACGGTAGCCACTAATTCCAATACAGAGCATGCATTAAAGTCGTTGCCCACAGGGGGTAACGTTGTTTTTGAGTCGCCATCGACCAAGTGGGGACGGCAACTCCATCCGCCGAAGAGGTCAGATATCTCCTCGGCATCAGAAGAAACAAGTTCCAACACACGTGATGCAAGGATCAACGGTTGTGCCCGCGTTGGCCTCGCAATATCAAGGGGAGGAGAGCACACGAGGCCCAAATAAACAACTCCCTCATCCGCGGATAAGCCAAGGGGAGGGATAGCAAACGCATTCGGTGCCGTGAAACGCTGAGATGGGTGGCATCCGTCAAAGAAAATACACACCAATAAACAACGGTGATGAGGCAACAAAACACGATTCATTTAGTTTCCAATTCTTGAGCAGCGCACCGCTCATTTGTTGAGGGTACCAAATGTACACGCCACTGGCAAGGGTCTGAGGGCTTCAGGAGTGGGCATGCCATATCGTCTCGTATCCCCACTGCAACGCCCGACACCCATTCTGGTAGGAAACACGGCTGCAACCCAGTGCAACGCATACCTCAGGTGCACGATCTCTCCCACCCACTCCCGTCTCCGCAGCAATGTACCTACCGCCTACGCCCCCGAAATTGTTCTCCCCGCCACCTCCCACCCACGTCCCCGTCTCTGCGATTTTCCTGTCCGCCTTGTGATCTGCCACCAAAATGAAACCGCCCCCGTACGCCCTCTCCTCTTCCCGCTACCACGTCAATGCTCGAACAGGCATCGAGCGCGAGGCAGGTCCGTTACACCTGGGTGTGTACTACGGCATGGGCGATGGGGGCGAGCGGGCGGGGGGGGGGCGGGGTTGGCTCAAGCGAGTTAGTACGGCACTGGAAATGCGTCAGAGAAGCGGTGTTTTGCTGCGTTTTTTTGGGGGGCGAAGGTGGTTTATCGGTCATCTGCGAGCGTTCCTAGGACGACCCCACCTCTTCTAGATACAGCGACGTGCTCCTGGACCGCGCGCGGGAACTAGCCATCTTGGCGCCGAAAGAATAAAGAACCCACGGAAGTATCACCTGCCGTTCCCATGGACGGGCCCAAAGTACGTATACGAAGCATGCGGGCCAAAAAGCACGCACAACGCAGTCAAATGCTTAGAGGTAGGCCCCTTCCAACCCGTTCTGGGTGGACACGATGAGCCACCGCCTCCGGAGGGAGGAGTCGGGAGGATACGGAATGTGGGAACGTACACAACTTCAAATCATACTTCCTACATCACGGTGTCCAACACTGGCGCGGGGCGTGGGGTTCATATTTTGAATCCATGCTACAACGAATGCGCCCCCCCCCCTAACCAGTGGCATCGAAATCACCACCTTTACCCGGACACCCGTGTTTCCCGCTGTGAGCGCGAAAAAGCAGGCCTTCAAATACCGCCCCACACATACCTCGACAACAGAAGACATGCCTTACGCGATCGGTCCACGCCCGAAGCTGTGGAAGTACTTGTTCAGGAGATAGTGAGCGCTTGAAATGCTGGTGCACCTCCATTCGCCCTTCTTGCCCTCTTCCTGGACCAAGGAGCACGAAGAAGCCCCAGTCTTCGCGCACGCATGCACCATGTGGACCATCGAGCGGATGCACGACGCGGGGAAAACCTTCATGGTCTTGCGGAGGTAAAAGACGTCGCAGCCCGTGGCAGCGTTGACCTTGCGCCCGTTGCCCCTCCCAGCTGTAGCGTACTCTTGCACCGCCACCCAAATAGTCCACTCCCCTTCTTGCACGTCGCCGTCCACAAGACGACTGCTGTCATTTCCTTGGTGCTCGAAAAAATACGCGATTCTCCCGAGAGTGGTGGCTGCCTGTCCGCGCTCGCCGGAACGGCGAGCACTGGCATCAACGTAGAGTTCAACGTCGTTCGCTCTCGAGGTTTCCTGGATCGTCCACGTGTCACTGAGCTTGGTGGCGTCCTTTACTAGACCGCCGCGTAGAGTACCTGTTCCTGCGCTAGCTTCCCCCGGTGCGTCTCCCCAATGGTTGAAGCAAGTCACAGAACCGTTGTGCAGACCTGGTCTACCTTCCCAGCAGAACGCGCACACGTCGTCTTTGCAGAGCGGTCCGGACTCTTCCCGGCGGCAGCCGAGCTTGTCTTTGTACAGGGCCCCAAGTTCTAGTGCCGTCGGAAGCGTTGCACTTACAACAGATTGCCAGTCAGCTCCACCTACTCCCTGAACTGGTGCCTCCGTTCCGACAAGGTTTTGTTCCCACTCCACATAGCCCCATGGCCGTCCCGCCGACACCGTGTCTGGCTGAGCGGGCGCGAGCGGCAGGACTGCGAATACGTCCTGGAGGGTGACCCGACAGAGATCGCCAGCCGTGACCGTTCGGGTTTCCCACTTCCTTCCAGTCCAACCCGAGGCCGTCCACTCGACGCCGTCCGCCAGCGCTTGCATAGCTAAGCTGTCGTTCGTAGTACGCCACATATGTTCGGCGTTGTCTCGTCCACTCGCCGAAGGAGCCGATGCTTTCTGCTGCTTGTTCTTTGCCTCTCCGACGTTGCAATTCGTCACAACGCCTGCATGTCGAACGATGCAAGTTTGGGCACCAACAAGCATGGGGGAAGTTGCACCGCGCATGTTTCGAATCCCGTCCGATGGTCGACGAGGATGAGGATCGGTGGAGAAATACGTCGAGGGCTCGCCGAGCGTCGAAGCAACAAACACAACATCGAAGCATATTACACGGCGGCGTGGATGCTGTGGGAGGGTGTGCATGGGGAGCCCACGGTTCAGGAGGCGTGGTGAAGACACAATATTCTACCAGTCGGCCTGGCTGGGTTAATTTTATTTCTCGTTCGGTTAAGGGACATGTGCTCGGGGTGCTCAGCGGGATATGTAGGTTGTTCCTCTAAATATTTAAAGTTCGTCGCGTACCACAACGCTAAGGGTGCTTCGGCCTGCACGCCATACAAAAACAACTGCATGTTGGCGAAGGTCGTACACAACTCGATACCTAGTCATGGTTTGAAAACGGTTCGCATTTCGGCGCTCGTCTTTTTTCCTTCCCTTCTTTCGGGATACTTCCAGTCGTGGTCGGCGAAGTAGGAAATTCAAAATACCACTTTCGAAAGGCGGGGCGTTGCAGCTACTATTAAAGCTCTCATGTGACCTTCATCCTGTGCGCCCCGTAGAATGTTGGTCGTATGGCGCCAGAACACAATTAATTAGATGGGACAGGCACGCACACCCCTGGGAGGACTGCGGACGAAAGGAGGTCGCGCTAACAGGGCGCCGCGTGTGTACGTGTGAATACGCTCAAAAGGATAACCGTCTCTGAATTCACGAACTCACCGTTGACGGACCACATTGCGAGCGATGTGAAGCCCTTTGTGGATGGAACCGAGAGCAACCCCCATCACGCGAGTGACTTGCTTGACCTGGACCCGGGATCACGTTCGCAAGAGAAAGCGACTAAATCAGGGAATTGAAAATGGTACATTCCTCCGCTTGTATAGGAATCGCAAGGGCCTACCCGTTTGGTGATATCTATACCGGCCGAAGGGAAGGGCGTGCGACGGGGAGGGTGCAGAGAGATAAACGGGTGATATACGGGGAGAGAGTGGGAGAGAAAGAGAACGAGCTCTATGGACATCGTAATCGACGGTGCCGTACCCCCGTGGATGAACTAGAGTCGTATATATAAAAAGAGGGTGGGGGGGTAGAGTCACGGCAGCCAATTTTATCCCCGTGACTACCCCGCTGAGTGACCACCCCCCGGGGAGAACAGCAGCAAAACCGATACCATTTGACACCCTTTGTGTTTCCGCAATAGACACATCACAGGGAGGAGAACGGAGGAGGGCAGCCGACACAAGAGAAGCAACAAAAATGCCTCCTCCCTCTCCTCCCTTGACCCTTGAGGTGGAACTATTAAAGCTGTCCATCGACATGTTCTGAACGATCGCATTATCGAGCGTTGCGGTATGTGTTTGTTGCGCTTCCTGTTACTCAAACTGCTTTTTGCAGCTCCAGACCCAACCAATGGACTCGCTTCCGAAAAAATAAAGTTTTCACGGCTATACTCTGTTCTCGTAGTCCCAGCTGTGACTTGACACGAAAGTGGTGCTTTCGCCAGACCGAGCCAGACGACGAAATCGACATCATCCCCAGCGACACCGATCCGAACACCACGACAAGCAAACCCCGGACAGACGTACCCTGGACGCGCATTACCTACCACGCGTAGTGATGGTGGAACAAATACAGCAGCCCTCATGAACCAATCCGGAACCTAAATCCCCGGGGGGGGGGCTCCGATAAACAAAGTGTACTTTACCCCCGAGGCACATAAGCAAGGAGGGTATCTATCTGTGTTGGTGGTAAAAAAATACGTGGGTACAAACGCGGCGTTCGTGCAGCTTTTCGTCGAGATTGCAAGGGGGGGTGGGGGGGGGCGACATTGTGGGCGGGATACGGCACCGTCGATTGCGGTCCGCATGAGCGGCGGGCGGCTTAGCGTGTGCATGTTATCCGCGTCGTCTATAACAGCGTCTGGCGGGAGCACGCAATTGTCGGATGGCTAGACTAGTGGACGCGGTCAAACTTCCCAGACCTCAGGGGTTGAAGACAAGAAAAAATTGCGTTGGTCCGTACCTGGTCGATTTGGGACTTTTGCAAAGTACGCAAGCCTTCGGCAGTAAAGGAAGGTGAGCGCACCACGAAAGAGCTCCAGCTGCAAGCCTTGATGAGGTCTTGAAATGCGGCGCACACAGCCGCCTTGCCAGCGGGGGTGCCTGAGTTCACATCGATGCGATCTGCCACCTCTGCAACGACCATGGCCCGAACATAGTCGTCCTGGAATAAAGGGTTATGGAATCAAGGAGGCAGTGTGATTTGACTTGAGTCTCAAGGCAGGTATACATTGACGACATTGACGAGTTCGACCATAACCTTGGAGAAGAGCAGCCGGCCCAAAAACTGGAATCTGAAACCGGTGTCGGCCGGCCGGGCACCTCTTCTCTCCTCGGTCGCCTCTCGCCGCGTAGACGTGGTAAAGATGTCGCAAGTACAAACTCGAAAAACTTGCCTAGGGTGCTGTGCAAAAAACACCGTCACAAATACTTCCCTCGCGAGTTCATTGTCTCTGTCCTACTCTGCGGCAGGATTTTTATCCAAACGACTTTATGGCCCGAGTCCTCGATCCAACCTACGTCGTACGGTCGATAGTCGTACTCTGCTACGTTCCAGGGCATGCCGCGACTTTTACATAACCACAAATTACCGGACTGATCGCGAGAGTGTAAATCGTATAATTGGGCCTTCGTTTGCTACACGTCCGGAAGCTGTACGAGACAGCAGTGGCTGATGTGAAAATTAGACATATTCAGCGGGGGGCAATCTGGGGTATGTGGGGCACTGACGGAATCGGATGTCTTACCCGTTTGTCAAACACGCCAGACATC